TTTTTAATGAACAGGATTCTCTGGAACTTCGGAGCCAATCCTGAAAGTAGCTCTTGTAGACCAGGCTGGCCCCAAACTCACAGAGATCTGCCTGCCTCTGCCTCCTGACTGCTGGAATTAAAGGTGTGTGACACCAACTCCCATCTACAATATAGCACTCTGATTGCCATGGTTGTCCTGGCACAAAACTTTGGTTGTCCTGGTTGTTCTGAATGCCATAAAAAGACTTGTGTAAGACTTAGAACATGTGTTCTTTATCATTTTCTGTTTCCTTCACCTTCTGCTTTGCTCTCTCCATATCACCATCCCACTGAGTCCTGTTTTTGATGCTTGTTATATACTCATGTTTATGGCTGACAATGGAGTATTGAATAATAGATCAGGGAGGTCATAGTGGAGAAAGCTGGCACTCCCATCTTGACAGCCATTGATTGCCCACAGTTTTCCCTATAGGCTATCATATATCACCAGCTTTCATCAGGAATCCTGGTCCTCTGACTCTTATGCTCTTTGGATATCTTTTCCAAAATATTTCCATAGTCTCTGATTTAGAAGTTGTGTTGCTCGAAGTGTGCTTATTGGTCTTAGGCATCCAAAGATCATTTATTCTCCTCTTTTTTGACCAGCTGTGGATCTCTGCAACATCCTCCACTGGCCACATTAAAAGATTTTTGATGAGTTGTGAGACCTGTGATTATAAGGACAAATGATAATCATATAGTTGGAAATTATACCTGTTTTGTCAAACAGCAGTAGGAGACTCTACTTCTGGGATGTGTGATTCCTCCAGTCATGGGCAGCTGAATCACTTTACAGTACCACACATGAATTTCTTATTCCTGAGTTGGCCTCAAATCCAATTAGACTTAGATTACCCTGATTAAACCTAAGATAAAAGTGCCACCATTTTGCTATTATGGATTTCTTTCCATGGCAGTCATTGTTATAAGCCATAGGTCTGACAGATAATAAGACTATTGGTTACGTTTCTCCCTAGATGTCTTATGTAGCCTCATCCAATACTATGAAAATTCTCAGATTGAAAGTTTCAAAATCAATTGCTTATAAATTGCTCCAGGTACTAAGTCTGAAGTGCATATTGTCTTCAGCCATCGTATCTTCAAGTTCTGGGAAACAATCAAGGACCATGACTAGAATCTTTATTGTTTAGGAAGAGACAAGGGCAGCCTGACCTCAACAAACCAACAAATGAAAGTGAAGTTTTCTATTCCTGCACTGGATATTTTGATAACAGTGTGTGATTCCTGAGGCTAACAACATATTACATTTGACAAAACCTCTTCCAACCCCCTGGATACATGTGTATGCGTGAGTATGCTTGTACTAATAAGCAAGTCAATACGACAGTGTTTCTCTACTGATTCCTCAAGTGACTTTGATTCCATTTGTTCTTTTGGGAAGAGGGTAATGGAAAAAAAGAAGCAAGAAAGAGATGGATGACACTAACATATGAGCTCTTTAAGATGATAAGTTAAAACAAATACATGATATTCATAAACATTCAATTTCTTGCATCCACAATGTATTCTGTGAATTCAATTGAAAACCCCTCATCATTGTTCCAGTGTCACCATGTGCCACATCTGTCATTCATTCATCACTCAACTAATTCTCCTGTAAACCCAAGCATTACCTTTAAAAGGTGCAGCTCTCTCAGTTACACTACTTTGATCTTGGATGATTCCTGCTGTGAGTCTTTAAAACAATGTAAATAATTCAATTTAATTTTTAATGTTAAAAATACTCTGATGCTTTGATCACTTGATTACAGATTTTTACTTATATCTAAGATCCCTTATTAAAATATTTTCTGTTGTTCTTTTTTTTCAAAGTTTATTAAATTATGAAAGTTTCCATTTCCGCCCCTCCTCCCAACACCCTCCCACTCCCCCCCTCCCCCTCCTCCTCCCTCTCCATCCCTAAAAGCAGTCAGGGCTTCCAGCCCTGTGGGAAGTTCAAGTTCCTCTTCCCTCCCTCCAGGTCCAGGAAGGTGAGTATCCAAACAGACTGGATCCCATAAATCCAGTATATGCAGAGGAAACAAGTCCCAGTGTCATTGTCAATGGCTTTTCAGAAAGGCTCCTGGCCAGCCACATTCAGAGAATCCGGCCACATTCAGAAAATCTGGTTGGATCACATGCTCGTTCAGTCCCAGTCCAACTGGCCTTGGTGAACTCTCATTAGATCAGTCCCCTTGTATCAGTGGGTGATCGCACCCCTCGCGGTCCTGAGTTTTTTTTTTCCCATGTTCTTCCTCCTTCTGCTCCTCATTTGGACCATGGGGGGCTCAGTCTGGTGCTCCAATGTGGGTCTCCGTCTGTATCGCCATCCATCGTCGGATGAAGGATCTATGGTGATAAGCAGAATCTTCATCAGTATGGTTATAGGCCAAGGCTGGTTCAGGCACCCTTCCTCTGTTCAGAGAACAATCTGGGGATCTCTCCTTGGACCTGGGATCCCATTTATAATCAAGTCTCTTGTACACCCTAAAATTACTCCCTTAGTTGAGATATATTCTTCCCTAATCCCATATCCATCCTTCCTCCCTCCCCCCAT